TTTCGAGTTTCAAAAGGAAGGGATTAAATACAACCAAATCCCTTTTGAAAGACATATTAATTGCAACTAATTATTTTTCTATTCGGATGTACATGTAAAAATACCAAATTACATGAGACAAAATTTCCAAGTATGCACATTGTTAATGGCTTATTGCTGTTGGCTCCTCAGAATATAAGTGTGCCAACTTACAACTAGCTAACAGGTGTAAACCATTAGTTTGTAGGTGACTGGTATATATAAACCAAGTTTTCATCATAAGTTTACAAAAAATTAAGTAAAAACAAAAAACCAAACCTAAGATAAAATATCAAGTATTTTAAGTCACATCTCACTGCACTGCAACCCAATCATCATGCTCTATTAAATATGAAATTAACAGTAATTTTAAAATACGAATTTGTTACAGTGCAAACGCTATTAATATACTTTGCTATTCTTTAGTTCCATCCCATCAGGCATTTCTTTTCAGATGCCACACCAAAAGATAGGACTAAACGAGAGAAATGGCATATGATAAACTACTTTGACAAGAAAGCCCAACTTTCCTAGGTTTTGGTAGGTTCGAGAATGATTCAAGAATAAAACTGGACGAGAACGCACAGAAACAAACCTAAGCACTCATAGGAGGCAGAAAGTGGGGGAGGGGGCGTGGAAGCTGCTAGATCTTGTCCTGAGGTCTTTTAAGTTCAGCAGAAAAACGACAGGCACAGGACGTTAGCCACAGGCCCACCCGTCAGACCCCTTTTTCTGCACTACACTTGAGGGGCTGAGTTGTCCAGTTAAAGTCATCTCTTCCCTAAAAATTCATAGGGGAGGGGATGTCCCTGCTGTGGAAACTGGACTAAATACCGGAAGACTGTCTCTGAGCTGCACGCATCGCGACCTAGTGAAGTAAAGCACAGGAAGAGCACGTCCTCAAGGCAGGCACAAAATCTCAAGAAGTGAACTACCGGGTACCTGTTTGTCGCTCTCGAATACTGGCTGCAGCGGTCGCCGCCATGTTGGCTCTCACCATCCACTGCCCAGTTGGCGAGCGGAGCTGGTGGATGACGTGGCTGCCCCGACAGCCCCGGAAGCACAACCGGGAGGGGCGTGGCTGGAAGTTATGGAGGCGACGCGTTCTCCGCACCGTGAGTATCTTCTCACGCCCCGGATTTCCTCGTTTTTAAGTTGAAGACTCAAAACTGAGGTCCTCGGAGTACGTGAAGTCCAATCAACTACCAGTGTTTCAGCTGCGTAATTTTTATTCTATTGAATGAAACCAGGTGTCAATTAGTTGCTTTTAAGTCGAGCTGCTCGGTTGGGAGTGGGTGGTTCTAACCACTTTATTAAAAAGTAGAACTCTTATTTTTGGTAGTTAACTGAATGGTGACACAACTCTAGGGATGTAATTTTCACCTAAAGTAAATTGAATTCCTGGGACAAAGTAGCCCCCCCCCCCCTTGTCTGTGCCTTAATGATCTCCTCTTTGCTCCTTTTCCCCGGGAAACCCGAGGGTTAAAAAATTTTTTTTTGTTAAGTCTTGAGTATTTTTTTGAACAATATAATGGTCATCTAGTTAAAGTACTTTTCTTTTTTTTTTTTTTTTAAAGATTTATTTATTCATACAGAACTGGGGTACAGGCCAGAGATGCGGAGGGTGAGAGGCTTCACCAGAGACAGAGTGGGGAGCAGAACAGGAAGATCGACGAAGTACACTGCTGAGGGGAGCAGCGGGCGGGCAGGAGAGGTCTGCCATGCCATGTGGATCTCCTCCGAGGCAGGCGGGAATCGAACACATGCAGAAGTGGCTTAAGCTTCAAAGTACTTTTCAATGTGGAGATGTTACTCAGTTAATACGAAAGCTTGTTTGTTTTAAATATTAAATCTCTTCTCCATTTGAATGTTACTATAAAGAAGTTTCTTTAACACATTTTCTTCATTTTAATGTTAGACAGTACTGAATACATTTCTCTAAACTTTCCTGCCCACCAAGAAACGTTTTAGTTTTTGACACTTTATTTTATATCTTAGTACAATATTAACTCGAGAAATAAAAATCTAGTGGAAATAGAGAAAAGACGCCTCTACAATTCAAGAGCAGTGATTATATCTGAACTAGTGAGCACCAGTGATTTCCTCAGATTCTTCTCCCTATTTCATATTCTGAAATTATGAAATAATACATAAATGCAAATTTCATCTTTGACACTTCTATAGCTAGCAAACAAATTATAGGCAGCATTTTTCAGTGCATTATTTATTGTGAAGAAACCAATTTTTCCCATTAAACACTTATTAATATGTTCTCATTTTGAGGAAAACTTCTAACAATGTGAAAACAACCCTATTTACTATTTCTTGGGAACTTTTATACAGCAAAGCTCACTTTAAACTTTAACAGCACAAATGTTTTCAAGGCAAGGTTTGATTCAGTGGGCCCTTTGAAGTCAGATTTGTCCATTTCACTTTCATACATAATGCCTGTAATGCTGGGAATTACATACAAGAGAGCAAATGCATCTCCAGCTTCTAATTCAATGACAGGCAGCATCAGAAGCGGTGAAATGAGGAATTAGAACATTGTGTTGAAACTGAGGTCATGATGTTGGGATCTAAGGTGTCTAGATCTTAATGGTTGGGAAAATGGTCAAGTTTTATGCTGTTTTGCCAACATAAACACAGGGTTCCTGGGAGGTGCAAAATAGCAAATTGGGATTCCCCTTCTTGCTGTAACTGCAAAATTACAAACATTACTTTGTGGAGGAGAGTATAAGTAGATAATGCTGGTGTCTTACTGTACAATTGAAGTCATATAGTGACAAATATTTCAGTATTCATAACTTCTAATCCTTAAGTTTTACTGAATGTCAAAAATTTACTGATGACATTTTATTTTCTGTCGAATGTTCATTCTGAAGCTATACCAAATACTGAAGTACTGTGTCTAAAAAATGAAGTAACTTAAAAATTAAGGAGAAACGAATTGTTACCCTGACAATTACATAAAAAGCAAAAGTCTAATAAATCACTATCTTCTGTTTGTTACAGGGCAGCCCTGTGTGAACTGGGCTGCCAGTCTTTGGGGCCTCACCTGAGTGCTTAACATGCAGTCCTACTGCAGACACAAACAAAAGGGTCAATAATGGGTTTACTTACAAAAGGGGAAAGGAAAAGGGAAAATCCAGAGAAAGAGAGATACAAGGTAACTAATATCTTACTGGCTCCACTGACTTGAAGCTCTGGTAACAAACTGATAGCCCCTAGTAACAGGGTCCAGAGAGCCCTTCCTGAGAGAGAGCCTTGGCTAATGGCTCCCTATTTATCCCCCAAAGTACCAGAATGCCTGCTCAGCTCTGCCCTTGGGTCCTCACCATTCTCTCCCTGGTACTGCTAGGAGTTGTAGTTTCCAATCACTGGAGTAGGGGGTAGAATCCACAAAACTCTGCAGAGTTCTTTTAGGACATCCTTCTCCTTAACATGTTCACATTAAGTTTATTAAACTTGAAAACAGGTAATCTTATTTTTAACACCAGTAGGAAAACATCCTAAAACCCCCATTTTTAAAATTTCCTTGTATAACTATTTTTTTAGCTTGAGGTTTAACTGATAAAATTATATTTAACGTGTGTATCATGAAGACTTGATATATTTATACAGTAAAAAAATCCCCCACCTAGTTAACTGTTAACATTGATCGCCTCATATTTTTTTGGTGGCAACATTTAAGTTCTCTAGTTAGCACATTATATATTAGCACGTTATATTAGATCATCAGAAATCATAACTAAAAAGTACTCTTATGATTTATATATAGAATCTAGCCAAACTCAAGGAAATGAGTAGAAAACTGAGGAGTGGGGGTGGGAGGTAGGGGAAATTGGAAGAGCTTAGTAAAAGGTTATGAATCATTACAAATTGCATCATCTGTCATAGACATAATCATTAAAAAATATATTTACTGCTTTATTCAGTGCTATCACAAATATTTTCAAAGAATCTTCAATGATCAAATGTGTTCTAGTTAAAAAAAATATTTCCTGCCTAAGTCTTAACTTTACTCCCCATGGAATATAAAATACAGCTTTCCCACTTTTCCAATATCTGAGAGCCTAATTTTAGTCATTTGGATTCTTCCATTTTCAAATGCAAATCTATCCATCTATTGCAGCTCCATCATTAAGATTCCTTCCTGTATACTCATGTTAATATAAAACACAGTTATACACTGTTTAACAATTATGCACAATATATAATATGAAGTACGGTGCTGTGGTGGAAATAATGTGGACAATGTGTACAGAAAGCATTTCTTTATATTTATTGTATAGTAGTGTATAGTAAGTGGCAGTAGAGTCCCTTTAAGGTTGACTGAAGAAGATAATTAAACCTTAACTATTAGTAATTATCTTTTGAATCTACCTATCCAAATTCTTGGCTCGCTATGGAAAACTTACTTTTTAAATAGTTCTATTTATTTATGCATACAAGAACTGGGATGTATGCCAGAGGTGTGGAGGGTGAGAGGACTCACCAGAAACAGAGCAGGGAGCAGAACAGGCAGATCTGCTGCACCAAGACAGGAGAGGTCAGCTGTACCATGAAGGTTAGCTCCCTGGTTGAGGCTAGAATTTGTGCTCCAGAGGCTGCTGATAGCTTCATAGTGCTGAGAATTAACCCCTTGAGCCACTAGAGAGTCCCTGGAAAAGCATTATTTTTCATCAAGAAGGAATAGTTTCAACAAAACACCTAGGAACAAATTACTTAAAACTGGTTTCCAGGTCTCAGTCAATATTGGCTTATAGAATCTCAATGAGGAGGAAAGAGTCTTGTATCCATTTACTTCTGCCAGATTCTTAACCTTGTTAAACCTTAACAAGTTACTTAGTTTACATAGGTTTATATAATCACTTCAATTGCATTGGCAAATTTAGAGAACTTCACATTTAAATGTCATGGTTTGATTACATAATTTGGTTTTTAAAAGGAAACAGTAATTTAACTATACCTATCAATACCTGGCATACAGTAGGTACTGGGATATGTTTGGGAATTAGAAAATGTTAACAGTAGAAATATAACTTGAAAACTGTATTTATTCAAAGCAATCCAAAATTTCCTAACCTACAGGTAATATACATTCAAGTAAATCATGATGCGCACTTATGCCTTGTTATATAGCACTACTTGAAATATAAGACTTTATATTGTATAACCTGAAGCATAAAAACTAGTTTCATAGATTATAAATCACAATGGAGTATGGAATTACATATTGAAACTACATGTTTATATAAAGCATGTTGTTCTGGGCATTTTATATAATAAATGAGTATGAAAGACAATGTCAGACAAAACTTATATTCTCCTTTACTTTGCATTTACTGTTGAGTAAAAAAGTTCCCATAGTTTACATATAATTAGGGGGAAAATGTATTAAGTTTTAATATAAAAAAGAAGCCAAAGTATATTCTTGAAAAATGCTTTTCTACTTAACCCAAAACAAATAATGTCTTTTTTATAATATGGAAGTTAAGTGTTACAAAGTAAAAATGAAACTGGTTTCTGATGAGTAATTTTAAAGATTCTTTACCTTAAATATTAAAATAGTAAATGACTTCAGTACAAGAATTCAGATGAATTGCCCACACCAAAAAATGTTTAAAAGCAATGCATATATAACTAAAGATCATTAACAGGAAATGCAGTATAGCTGAATTTATGGTTTTCCTTGATATTGAGAGCAACAGAAAACAAACTATTTGGCATTTAGATGATTCAAACTTTTAAGAAATACATATACACATTGATAGAAATTTATAGCATAATTCTTTTTTAAAATCAAGTCATAAGAATTGTACATTGGCTATAACAGAAAAAGAACAATCATGATTCCAACCATTTGAATGTAGTAACACTGCAGAAAATAACATACAGATTTCTCCAAAATTCATACAAATGTTATAATATCCTTAAAACCAATTTGCAATTATGAATATTGATGCTTCATTTGAAATGTGAATGTCCTAAATTATTATTTACACCACCATAACCTAAAGGCCCTACATAACACATAAGTGAAAAGAGGAATTGAAATACTGCTTTTAATAGTAGCCAATTCAAAGATAATGTCTTTTTACCCCTGCAAATGTGTGTGCGTCAGCTTTAATTACCATGCTGAGACAAATTAGTTACAAATAACTAGAAAATAGCTTTCATTGGCTTATTTTTTTTGGTTTGATTTTATAAAATCAAAAAAAAATTCTAATAGCTAGGTTAAGAAATAAAATACCTTAATTTATCAAAACATTTGAAAGAAAATGCAAGTTTTGCTTCATGGTGAACCTGAGGTTGATATTAGACATCCAACTATTATTGTTAATTGATTCTTTAATTGCTTTTGATAATCTAACAGAATTCCCTATAAGACAAAGAAATGCCTTCCTTATGTTAAAATTTTACAAGTTCAAGTGAAATTTTAATTTGTTCGGCCTGTCAGTATAACAAGGAAAATCATACTATGTTTATGTAATTAGTCCCTTTTGATTGAGAGATTTTCAGTATCAAATCAGTTCTGTTATTTTTCTTTAAATGATCATAACTAAGGGTGTTTCTGTAAATGATCATAACTAAGGGTGTTTCTGTGATGGATGAGAATATGACAGTAACAGGCATTTGTGTATCCAGAAAAATGTGGTTAAAACCACATTCTCCTCTGCTTTACTTTTGATAGAAAACTCTCTATATTTTATTAGGAATTAGATTTTTCCACTTTTTTCTTTTGTAATAGTATAATAAACATGACATTGTATATCTTTAAGTTGTTATTACATGACTTCTTGTTTTCTAGTACTGTCTTTTTAGCAACATTAGTAGTTAAAAAATATGAAAGTAAAGGATCTATAGGATACATAGAAATATAGATCTTTGCATGGTGAACCAGAGTACATTTTTCTTTCCATTCCATTGTATTTTTTTTTTTACATATTTCTATACTTCTTATATAATAAGTATCTATTTATATAGTAATAGGTATCTTTCAAGAGCCGAGATAATAGTATTAATGCAATGGTGCCTGATTACCTGTCTTATAACTATCTTGGTAATAAATAACTATCAAATAGCCAAATGTACCATATGACAATTCAAAGATTATTCAGATACCTAAATGACCAGGGATCAGATATACTGTAGTTTAACACCATACAGATATAGAAAAAAAAAAAAATCCTACAACCAAAGCCAAGGTTTTAAAGAATACACTTTCTTAGGGCTTTTTTTTTTTTTTAACCATATTTTAACCACCTCAGAAGTGTTTTTAAAACTATGGAATATCCATAGATTCTAGGATACTTGTGCAATTCTGCTTTTTACATAATACTTCTCATTAGGCATACTCTAATTGCAGTGTTGGTCTATTTTCATATAAATCAATAACCAAAAATCTTTTTAAACCATCATCCTCAAGAAGTATACATATAAGACACATCCCAGAATATATACTGATCATTTATATGCCACAACTTAGCAATTAGCTTTTCTTTTTAATGCTTTAAAATAAAGTAATCTGAAAATAGCATAAAACTAGAAAAATCTTTGTGGCATATCCTACAGCTAATCCCAATTAAAAAAAAAAAACAATTGAGCATAGAGCTTCTTTTCTACATATACCATGCTGTTACACTTGAAGAAAGTCTGTACAGTCATACTTATATTGAGTTTATGAAGCACATATATAAAGAAAATAGAAAACTATCTTGACTGGTACATATTTAACACATTTTTTTTTTTAGCTTAAATGGCCAAAAACATTTCTTTATATTCATATCATGAATTTTATTAGGCCCAAAGCTAACAAGTTCAGTCAAGAGTGATGACAAGAAACATTTCTGAAACAATTAGTATCAATAGCAGCTTTTAAAGAAGCATCTCTCTCTGTCCGAACATTTCAATGTCCAACGTAGTGAGAACTTGATTCCTTTTCTAGCCTTAGAGTGTTTTTTATGGCAAAGTCCATATTTTCTTGAAATTCTTTATATGAATTGGTGATTGGAAGAGTGAGACAGTTATTACACTTGTTTCCAACAGGAAAATCCATATGCAGGCACTCAACTGAAGGAGTGGGTTTAAATCCAGCAGGTGGAATGGAATTGCAACCAGTTGCAAAAATAAGAATATCTTCCACTGTTGTTGCAGATTTACCATCTGATACATTTATTATAAAAAAGAAAAGAAAGAGACTCAAGGTTTCTATTGCAACCAACATAAGCTCTCCCTAACTAAAATGGGGACAGAGACTCATATAGGGGCAAACTAATTTACTAAGTCAAATGTATTAATCAGAAAACAGTGCATTCAATTGTAAACATTTATTTGAATCTCAAAGTAGGACACATAAAATCTTTTAGTTGAACTTTTCTTTGTATATTAAATACCTTCTCTAAAACAAAATTAAGGTATAATCCAAGAAGTTCAATGAGTTCAATCCTTATTTTTGGTCCATGATAGTAAAAACAATTTATAAAAACTACTAGATAACCACTATTTGATAAAACTAGTTCAACAACTACAGAGATAAAAACTTAATGGTGTAAAACAATGAACTACCCTAACTAAGCAAAATCTCAACTGAAAGTTTCTCATAAAATTAAACAAATGACTGGCCCTCCCTGGTGGCGCAGCGGGTTAAAGCACTGCACTGAGAAGCTAAAGCCACTTCCGCATGAGTTCGATCCCCGCCTGCCCCCGGAGGAAACCACATGGCGTGGCAGACCTCTCCTGACCCGCCCACTGCTCCCCTCAGCAGTGTACTTCGTTGATCTGCCTGTTCTGCTCCCCACTCTGTCTCTGGTGAAGTCTCTCACTGCCCCTGAGTCTCTGGCCTGTACCCCAGTTCTGTATGTACAAATAAGTAAATCTTTAAAAAAAAAAAAAAATTAAACAAATGACTTTACATTACTAAAGCTCAGTGATAAATTTATCATATTATATTAGCTTTTATCAACTGATGAAGAACAATTCAATTTAAGAATGAAAAAGCTCAAACACATGCATACCTCAGATATTGCGGGTTTCTTCCTACCACTGTGAATCACAAACATTTTGGTTTCCCAGTACACATAAAAGCTATGCTTACTGTAGTCTACTAAGTGCACAACAGCATTATTTCTAAAAAAATTATACAACTGCATTTAAAAAAATAACTGCTAAAAAAAAGTAACCATCATCAGAGTCTTAAACTAATTGCAGTCTTTTCACTGTAGGGTCTGAACAAAACACATTTTAACCTTGAAGAGCAGTAAAAGGTGGTATTCTTGTAGATGACTAACTTTGAGACAATTTAGACTGTAGCCTATCATTCATATATTTAATGTTTCTAGAAAGACTGGCTTTTACCATAAATTATCTATAGGAAAACAGGTTGCAATATACAGTAAGCTTTGTAACTTTTCCTCACAATTTTTGACTCAGTCATACAGACTTGTTTCGAAATAAGTTTTCTTTTGTAAGTATGGAGTTAGCATACTGAAGTCTTACTGTCAAAAAATAGAACCCAACAAAATATCTCAAAGCAAACATTTTAAGCAGCTAAAAAAAAATTAAAACATTCACATACCCTCAACATCCTGTAAGTAATTGTTCCAAAACTCCAAAACCTGTACATCAGATAATGTGTGGACTGTGAAAAGATCACTAAGGATTTTTGCAGAAAGATTCTCAGGTTTATGACAGAAGATGCTACAAAAAGCTTCTGGGTAAGTCTGAATTTTTTCCAAAACTCCAAGAGTTTTCAGACCCTGCTTAAAACTTAAGAAAAGAAAAGAAATGAGCCAATATTCACAAACATTTGGTATTACTGTAGGGAATTAACACTTCCAACTAACTTACTACCATATGTACAAATATGTGAGGAAAGTGTGTAAAAATATGATATATATCACTTTCAAATCCATAAAAATAATATAAAATGAATATTTATATGCCTACACAATTGACTTTATAGAATCTTTTAAAAATTAAGCCAACAACTTTTTATTACGAGGAAAGTAGAAATCTGAATTATTTTATGCTTCAAGTTACTATAAAAATGAAGTCTACAGATGGCAAAGAGTGATAAAATATTTTTAATAGGCATGACAAGGAAACTAATTTCCTTATTATACAAAAAAAAAAAAAATAAATCTAGTCTTTCTCAAGGAAGAGTCCAATGGGAAAATGAGCAAAACATGAACAACTAAAGACACATTTTAAATACACACTCTTACTAACAGGCAAAGGATGCACCATTTTTGTTTATTGGACACATTAAGCCTTACCAGTGTTCTGGATTTCCTAGCCACCTCCAAAGATATTCTGCCACATAGATTAATCTCCCTTTCTATTGGCTCTTCCTTAAAAGCATTTTAACAAAGTTGCTTATTAAAAGGTGTTTCTTTCACATCTTTGAGAAAAAAATCCCATCTCATTTCCTTCAAGACAACTTAATTGAAATTATATTCACTATTTCTTAATTTCCTGTATTTCCCCCCTCCATTCTTATTTACATCTAAAGCAAAACAGACATAACTTTATGATTTCCTTCTACAGCACCAGTTTCCTGGTGTCCCCTTATTTCTCTGGCTGGATCTTTTTTTTTTTTAGCCTCATTAATACTTTTTATTTTCCATTGCCTTAAATGTTGCTGTTTGTTCCTTATGGATTAATAACAAGTCATCTTCTTTTCTTCCTTTCCCTTTTCCATATCTTATTTAGCAGGTACATATGTTCATCACTATAAAGCTATTATGTCAAGCTCAGAAAAACATCCAAGAGATTATCAGTTACCACAAAGCCAATTCAGTGTCTCCATATCATTCCACTCTTCCATGATAGTGTAATTAGTATTGTAAAGTTATAATGTCTCAGTGATGTAAAGGGAAGAACTGCTTTCTTTATAACTGATCCCTTGTTTTCCAATAATGTGCTTTTGTCCAGAGTGTAGTTTCATCATAGTATGCTAGCTTGGTTCATTAAGTCCTTGAAACTTCTCAAGCAACATTTTCTACAATATTGCCTTATCTCATGTTTAATAGTCAAATATTCTAATTTTCATGATGGTTCTTGCTTTCAACATCTTTGGAGTAAATTTGCATATTCCTCTTACAGATACCTTGTTTTCTCTCCAATTGGCATTTAACAATCACTTTCATAATCATGTCTGCTTCTGTTTTTTTTTTTTTTTTACCCCCATGAGTTTCTTCAACATTTCTTTAAAATCAGTTTTTATTTATACTGTTTTAAATGGTATCTCTTTGTGTGGATTTTAAGGAATGTTATTGTCTAATGGTGATAACATTTTATCAAGTATGAAAACCTTGACTCCCTTTTAGTGCTTTTCTTTACCCTATTGTAATTTTTCCAAGATAATCTCTATATAACTGAACAACAGAAAAGAATGTTACATTTTTTTGCCTCAACCATCTAATATACTTAGGAGACAGAGGGTTTTTTATTCATCCTTCCTGATGTTCCAAAATTCCATCTTTAATAATCTGCTTTGTTTCACAAGCTTCCTATAACCATTTTTTCAGGCTAGGTCTATCTACTGATAACAAATTCTCCTACTTTTCTTTTATATGACTAGGTTTCAACCTCTTCTATATATTTCAAAGTATTATGTTTGTTTCACGTATCACACTGGGTTTTTAACAGAACGAATAGAGAAGTATGTCCACTCCACATCATCTAGAAATGGAAGTATATGATCATATTTCTGTTTGATTGATTTTACATTTTATGTTTTGCTTTGTTTTCTATTTTAAAGCATTGTAACAATGCTTTGTTGTCTTATTCAGTTTATTCTTTTCTCTATTATTTTTTTAGTTTGCTCTTTTGTGTTTGATCCCCAGCCCTGGAGGTGATCCACATGGCAAGGCAGATCTCTCCTGGCTTGCCCGCTGCTCCCCTCAGCAATGTACTTCATCGAGATGCCTGTTCTGCTCCCCACTCTGCCTCTGGTGAAGCCTCTCACCACCCCTGCACCTCTGGCCTGTACCCAAGTTCTGTATGTATAAATAAATAAATCTTTAAAAAAAAAAAAAAGATAGGGGTCCACACAGGATGGCAAACCCAAAACTGGAGTATGCATAGGTTCTGATTTTATGAAATCTAAGGTACTTTGACTATATTTTGACATCTATAGGACTTTTAGAAGCTCAGCTATATATCTATAAGGTATCTTTTGCTACATGATTTTTAATTAAAAAAGATTTATTTATACACACAAGAACTGGGGTACAGAGTTTGTTTTACATATAACATTGGGTTTTCAGAATGAGTAGAGAAGTGTATCCACTCAACATCGAGAAATGGAAATATATGATCATTATTTCTACTTGATTGATTTTTACATTTTATGTTTTATGGCATGTGGGGGGTGAGAGGATTCATCAGAGACAGAGTGGGGAGTAGAACAGGTAGATGCATTGAAATAAATTGCTGAGGAGAGCAGTGGGAGGGCGAGGAGAGCTCTGCCACACCATGTAAGTCACTTCCCTGATGGGGGATCCAGCTCACACTGCTGATAGCTTCACAGTGCTGTGCTTTTAACCTCTTGCGCCACCAAGAAGGGGCTACATGATCTTTGATTTTTAACATAAAAGGAGAGATTATTCTTTAGTTTCTTTTCTCTGGCCCTCTTAATTTTCATCTGTTCAATATTTAATGTCATTCATGTGTTAACTTAAAAACACTTGACATTTAGACTGGTCAGATCTACAAGAATCAAGGTAAAAACAAAGAAACAAATTCATTGTCAGAGAATGAATTGTCTGACAGCAAAGAGAAAAGTCCATCTGCATAATTTGTGTAACAAAATTGTGTAATTACTTCAATATTTTTAAAATAATTGCATCAAAATTTATAATATATTTGGAGCACTTTGAGTATTGATAATAACTATAAATGATAAATGTTTGGATAATGAGATATGTGTAGTTTTCTAATTGTTAATACTTATAAATATACTGGAGATGACATCCCTTGCAACTATGTAAGATCATGATGTTGCTTTATATTTAAACATGGGACAGTGTTGGGGAACATCTTTAATGTTCACCTATAGGCAACTGGTTGAAAAATATTGGTATATTCAAACACAGTTCTGGATAGCTTTAAAAAGAATGAGGGATATGTCTATTTACTGCCATGGAGTGAATCCAGAATATACTGTCAATTAAAAGATGAGTAGAAAAGGGGTCGATAACGTTACCATTTCAGTAATAAAAGAGAAATGAATATATATACATACACATGCTATAAATAAATGAAAGGATAAACAAACAAACTCTAAATGACCAACTCATAAGGTGACAGATGTGATAAGGATGTAATTTATACTTCTTTGAATATGATGTGTACATAGAATTTCATTCTTTCAGTATACTTTGATTATAGATTTGATTTTGGAAATATGCATGTATATTATAATAGAAAACAAGTTTAATCTTTGAATAACATTATAGGTTACTAGTGCTAATGTTGGTACTGATGTCCTGAGACTATAAGATGTGGAAAATCAAGTTAATTACTTCACATAATATATTTCCCACTGTCTGCGAGAATTGGTATTTTTAACATGGACAAAGTAAAAGTTACAATCCTATTGTGACTCTGAAGTATCATCATAATGGCATTTTTCAAAGAAACTAGACAAACATTAATGAAATTATATGGAATTACATGACCCCAAATAGTCAAAACAGTCCTCACAAAAAAGAGGGAGTGAATACTGCTGTGGCAATAGAAATAGTATGGTATTAGATCAAAAAGCACACAGACCAATGGAATAGAACTGAAAGTTAGAAATAGATCCATATTTATAGGTAAAGTTAATTTATAATAAAAGAGCAAAGAGTACACATCAGAGAAAATGTCTCCTCAATAAATGGTGTTGGGAAAACTTGGAATGCAAAAAAGTGAAACCAGACCATTATCTCACACTACATCCAAATATTAACTCAATGGATTAAAGATTTGTATGTACTATGTAAAACCATAAAATATATAGTAGAAACATAGCCCAAAAACTTCATGACGTTGACATCAGGGTTAACTCTGGGGACTTTATGCTAATGGCAAAAAAAACAAAAGCAAAACTAAACAGTGGGACTATATCAACCTTAAAAGCTTTTATACAGTAAAAGAAGCTATAATTAAAACAAACACCTTGTAGAATGGGAAAAGATATTTGTATATTATCAATCTGATAAGAGGAAAGTATCTAAGCTTCATAAATAGTTTATTCAACTCAACAACAAAAAACTCCCCAAAATTCCAAACCAAAAGTGGGCAGAAAAGCTAAAATGAGACGTTCCCAAAGTAGACATAGATGGTTAACTTAGAACTTGGAAAATGCTCATTATCACTTATCAGCAGGGAAATTTAAATTAAAGTCACAATGAGATTCCATTTCACACCTCTGGGAATAACTATCAAAAAGACCAGTAAAGCACAATTGTGGGCGGTAGTGTGGAGAAAAAGGGATCCTTGTTCATTGTTGGTGGGAATGTACACTGCACCTGTTCCTATGGAAACAGTATGGAAGTTTCTCAAAATATTGAAAATAAATTTATATAAATCAGCGATTCCACTTTTAGGTATATATGCTGAGTGTACAAAAATTAATTCAAAGGGCTATATTCAAAGGGAAACAGAATGGACGTTTCTCAAAATATTACAAATACATTTATCATATAAACCAGCAATTCCACTCTTAGGTATATATGTGGAGAATACAAAAATTAATTCAAAGGGATATATTCATTCCTATATTTATTATGGCAGTATGTACAACCTAAGTTCCCTAGGAGAGAAGAGTGAATTAAGATGTAGTACACACACACACACACGCACACACACAGGAATACTATGCAGCTTTAAATAAAGACAAATTCTTGCAACTTACAACATGGATGGAACTGGAGGGGATAATGATAAGTGAATTAAGTCAGAAGGAAAAATCAATTTTTCACTTATATGTAGAATAGAGAAACAAAGGGTCAGACAAAAATAAAGCAAAATATATCTATAAGTCTGATTGTAGAACTGAGGACACTAGAGGGAAGCAGGGAGGGTGGAGAACAAAGTGTAGATTTGATAGTGGTCTATGGGTGCTCTAGTGGTGGGTTATTTATTTGGTAATGTACATAAAGAGGTGCAACTCTGCATCAGAGTGTTGTAAATCAATGTTCTATGTAATAAACAAATAAATGTATCAATATAAATTAATGATGTATTTTATGCTGAAAAATCAAAACCAAACTAACTCCCACATATTGCCTACTCTTAAGTTACTGAAAAGACCTAGAAATATGGCGAAATGAGCATCCTTGTATCTAGATTGTGGCTGAAAACCCTATTGAAACAAAGCTTTTGGGACAGAATGTACAAAATATTCAGTGTATACACTGTCATACTATATACAAGAAAGTTACTAAGAATTAACATCAAAAGTACATAAAACATAATAAAGATGCTGGCCAACACTGAGACAGTAAAGCATTTCAGATAGAATTACAATTTTAAGTTTTAAACATTATTAAATATACCTAAGTCTATGGGCTAATGTTATGAAACTGACAAAGAACACTACAGATGTTTGGCATTTTCTTAAAAAATTACACTGAATTTAATAACAAGGATAGGGTACAAGGAACAAGACTGGTCACAGATTCATACTCATAAGATCTGGGTGATTACATTTGTATCATTTTGCCTATGTTCACTTATATTTTCCATTACTTAAAAAAAAAAAAAAAAAAGGAAGGCTATATGGATATAAGAAAGTTTTAAGACCAGTATTCTAACCTAAAGATGAGCAAGAATCACACCTACCTTACCTTGTTGATCAAATAATGCTTTAGTATATGTTACCCAGCAGACAGATGTTTGTTAGTAATTGAATAAATGAGTAGAAATGGAATAGTTGATTAGTGGTAAACTTTAAAAAACTTTGTTTAGAAAATTATAAACTGAGATAATGATTACTTTCCTATCTAAGCATCAAATAGTTCTTCAATCTGTATGGAATGGGTGGAATAGTAGTCATCTTTTAAAGGTCACTTTTGAAGCATTATTTTAAAATAGCATTTATGTATTTTAAAATAGTATCTCACACAGTAACACAGTACACTTTAAACATGTCAGCTGCAAGATTACTTTACATAAAACAACCTACCTTTCAAAGGGTGCTTGGACTCTCTTAATTACATGGTAAAAAAGTATGTCTTTTACTAACATATATTTATCACTTAATGATGTTATAATTCTTAGACATCCAATTAGTTCTAGGTAGTTATAACAATCATTAACTATGGAGTTTAAATCAGCCACATTTGTTGCAGTATTCACCTGTAATGAAGAAAATACCCCCAATTTACTATTTGTGAACAGTATTTACAGTCCCAACAATTATTTTACGCTCAATTCTTGAAAAGGCTAGAGTAAAAGTGTGCCAAGAATTATTTTTCTAGGATGCCTCTTTAATACTATTACATAAAGGGAAATTATATATATTATATAAAAAAGAAATAACTGACAGAAAAATTATAAAGCACTAGAGAGGCAAAAATGATGATCTGATATTTCATGAAAGAAAGAATCCTTAAGAGATTTAAAAGATAGAGAAATCAGTAATATAGAATGTTGCTATGCAAAAACAAAGGAATACATGACCATTTATGTACCATGTATTTTCTTTTTCATACAGGTTTCTTTTGAAAACAATTATAAAGCCAGGAGGCACTGATTCATCCATTTGCAAAGAAAATTCCTTACTATTTCTTTTTCCCAAAAATTCTTCTCAGTTACATGATTTTTCATTTCAGATCTTTACTAAAATTTCCAAATTTTTCCCTAACTTGTACAAAATACTTGATAAATTTATGAGAGGCTAATAGTTGGGAGTATGTTGCCTCATCCTTTCAAACCCACCACTCCAGTTTTAGCTGGGGAAATAACTTATATTCCTTGCAGCTAGTTGTAACCACATGACTAAGAGTTTTGAATGCAAATGTGTCAAACTTTCCTGCACTCTACTTCTACTTTCTCCCTTACAGCAAGCATCAAGTCATACAGGTGAAGAAAATGTCCTAAATTGTTACACAAGGAGAGGAAGGAATCCAATTCTCTAGATGACATGGTGCATTCACAATTGTACTAGAAAAAGAGCAGCTATTTCTGTAAAGGCCAGGTAGCATGTTATGCTTAGTGAGTTATATAGCATCTGCCAATGCAACTCTTCCAGTGTGGTGTAAAAGCAGGTAAAGCTACATAATGAATGGGTGTGATTGTGTTGTGTTCCAATAAAATTTTATTTACAAAGAGGCAGCAGACTAGACTTGAACTACATACCATTTGTAACCCCTACCTCAGAACATAGTCACTGTCATTGTGTTGACTTTGTCATTGTCTTTCTGGGTCTTAGTTATAGGAGCTTAACCTAAGCTATAATTTTTTATGCCTTAAGCATTATCTAGCTCCTTTTTCTTATTATGTTTGGTTTTTTACTTAATGACAAGGTTACAACAACCACTTATTTGGTGTCCCGGAGCATTATCAACAATAAGCAAAATCTTGAAATGCATGTTACTCTTCAAATAGTACTTGTGTATTTCACTGGCATAGCAATTCAGTAGTTCATCTTGGAGAATACAGCTGGATCATTCATGACTTTGCATTGTTCCTATAATTCACTCACAGTCTCTATATAATATTAAGTGTGTATATATATATATAGAATATATACTACTAAGTGTATATGTGTGTCTATAGACAGAAATATTTAAGTATAGTGCGGTCATATATAGATATGTTTCTATACAGACACACTTAAGTGTATGTTGATATTCAGGAAGGGATACAGATATATTTAAATTTCAGTTATGGTGATTCTATAATATAGAAACTGTCAAATATTCTTTGACAATAATCTCAAAGGTCTCTAATTTTTAGCAAGCCAGGTCACAAAGGTTTAGTCTGGGGCCTGCAACATTATTCCTAAGCAAAGCTGTTATTTTGTTCTTACAAGCCTTAGAACATGGATTGGCTTAGCCTCCTTATGGGTGAAAGCTCTTTCGGGCATCTGTTTCCAAACAGGACGGTTCATCCATACTAAAGATGTGCTCTGACACAAGTAATTTTCCTCCACAACCATCTTATCAAGAGTTAGCATTTCCAAAAATTTTCCAGCTACCTTTACATGAACAGCACTTGTAGAATCACCAGGTATTTTCCCCAGAGCTTTTTTATTGCCTGATTTTCTTTCATGTTCAAAATAATTCTTATTTCCAAGTAATTCTGGAGAAGTGATTATTTTCATTCTTCCAGACTCCTTTTACTAATGTGTCAAGTCTTTTCTTATTCTAGTGTATCTGTTGTATCAAACTCAAAATTATAACTAGGTTTAGACAATTAAAATAGCTTTCTAATCTTATATAAGATGATTCTTTGAGAAGTACAGTTTTGACAACATTTTTTCCTTCAGAATCCCCAATAACTTCTCATGACTTATTATAGAAACTACTCTGACCAGGTATTTATCTCTATAGCTTTATCTATTCCAGATTCCGGATTATTCACTTAGCCAACAAATATTATGTACCCTATACTGTTTTATCACTCAAGATAATGAACTGAAGTTTTTGACTCCTGGAGCTTACATTATAGAAGGTAGGAGATTAAAAAAAAAAAATACTGTCATGTAGCAAATAACATTTCAGTCAATGATATGTGGTAATTCCAAAATTTCTATCTGCTTATAAGCTTATTTTGGAGAGTGCTGAGAAATCTGACTCTAGAAGAAGAAACAAATAGAGAAAATGGAGACAATGAAGTTGAGCTACAGTATGTTTCTGGTATAAAGAAAAAAATAAAAGGGTCAACTTACAGTGCCTTTTAGGATGAGGAATCTAGCAAAATAAATGATATTATAGCCCAAAGTGCTTACTTTGTGCTTTAGAAACTGAGGCCTAAAAAGATTAAATAACATGCCTGTGGTCACAGTTGATGACAATTATTTCAAAGTAAAATCTAACTCTAGATCATTTGCTTTGAACTTATATACACTGCCTATTAACTCAAACAAGGATATAGTTTAAGTAATGAGGTGGAAGGAAGAAAAGGTGAATGTCATTCCTCAATTTGTTTCCTAATCAATAAGGTGTAATGATGGCACTAATTTCAGGATGTCATAACAGTGAATTTGTATTCATTCTGTGTACTACAGGGCTCAATAAATGGTAACCATTTTTAGGCTGGCCATCACCTGAAGTCATAGTATCCAATTGGTTTTATCAGCATTGATTCTGGCACTTTGACCTGTAACTGACTGTATCTTGGCTGGTAAAGAGAAACAGCGATACCCCATTACTGCTCCACAAAGACTATTATTTTATTGGAGATCATCACTTTCAAATAAATCATCATATTCCAATAAATCTAGAATACAATCTATATTTTAATAAATAGGTACATTTCTTACCCTGATTATAATTTGTGCCACATCAAAGTCTGAAACATCATCTAAAATTGGCTGGGTATTTTCTGGTCCATAAGCAAGGCAGTTAAATAAGGTTTTAGAAAAGAAACCAGGTGAAGGACCACCATGAACCAAAGAAATGGCAATCATTTTGCCAGCTTCATAGTAAAGATTCTCTTTCAGAGCTGTAAATACAGATAAAAGTACATTCAATATATTCTTTTACCCATCATATGTAGTAAATTAAAATAAAAATCTAAGCACAAATAAATGTAAAATACTTAATTTATAAAAGTTACAACCATGGGCTCTCCCTGGTGGCGCAATGGGTTAAAGCACTACAGTATGAAGCTCTTCGAATCCACTGCAGCATGAGCTCAATATCCTGCCTGGGGGCTGACCCACATGATGTGGCAGACCTCTTCTGACCCGCCCACTGCTCCCCTCAGCAATGTACTTCATCAAGCTGCCTGTTCTGCTCCCCACTCTGTCTCTGGTGAATCCTCACCCACCACACCTCTGGCCTGTACCCCAGTTCTGTAAGCATTAAATAACTCTTTAAAAAAAAGTTACAATATCTAAGACCTTACTTAAACAAAAACATTTTTAATGCACAGTAATAATCTACTATAGGAAAGTATAAGAAAAGTTTTAAAAGTCATTTATAATTCTACCAGCATAATAACCAGTATATACACATTGATGTATTTGTCCTGCGTATATCTAAATACACAATACAATTTGAATACAAATTCACACTTACTGCTTTTTCTTATTTAAATTCATGAGCTAAAATAATTCATTAGGATTAATTTACATATATAATATGAATCACCCTCTTATTACTGTCTACCTTGACGTAACATTTTCTACTATGAGACAATGTTATAGTCAAAATCTAAATATTCTTGTGTATAGATCTGAATATTTGATTAGGGTAAAACTACATATGTTGGGCCCTCCCTGGTGGCGCAGAAGGTTAAAGCACAGCACTGAGAGGAAGCCACTTCAGCACGAGTTCGATTCCCGCCTGCCCCAGAGGTGACCACATGGCGAGGCAGACCTCTCCTGACCCGCCCGCTGCTCCCCTCAGCAGTGTACTTCGTCGATC